CCATAGGCAGGGCCACCAACCTCCACATTTAATACTAGACCAGGCAGCCCAGGGCCCCATCCAATCTGGCCTTGAACACCTCCAGAGAAGGGGCATCTACAACCTCTCTGGGCAGCTGTTCCAGCACCTCACCACTCCCTCTGTAAAGAATTTCCCCCTGACATCCAACCTAAATCTTCCCTCCCAAAACTTCAAACCATTTCCCCTTGTCCTGCAGTTATCTACCCTTTCAAAGTGTTGGTTCCCCTCCTGTTTGTAGGCTCCCTTTAGGTATTGAAAGGCTGCAATGAGGTTGCCCCACAGCCTTCTCTTCTCTAGGCTGAACAAACCCAGCTCTATGAAGACTCAGTCTGTCTTCATAGGGGAGGTGCTCCAGCTCTCTGATCATCTTTGTGACCCTTCTCTTGACCATCTCCAACAGTTCCCTGTCTTTCTTGTACTGGGGGCTCCAGACCTGAACACAATACTCCAGATGGGGCCCCTCAAGAGCGTAGTAGAGGGGGACAATCACCTCCCTGTCCTTTTACCTTTAACCCCTGTCCCTGTTACCTTTAAAGGCCACCTGTTCCCACTCCCCTGCAATGAAAAGGGACAACTATACAGTGCTGGATGGGAGGTGAGAAGAAATAAGATGTAGAAAAAGAAATCTGTGTGTATGCACACAATACGTTCCAGCGAGCAGCGGGGAGAAGCGCCGTGCCTAGCTCTCAAGGTCTGCCCAGTTCTCCTCCTTCGGTCTGAAATACAATCAGAACACAATGTTATCAGGCCTTTCCTCGCACATTTTATTCTTTTCCCATGCGTTTTGAGTCATTCCCTTTTTAGACCACGTTTCCTTTTGGAAACGAAAGGCGTTTTGCATATTCCGGGTGCGAGTATAGCAGGCAGAGTAAGAACTAAATAAGGCATCAGCTGGGAGGAACCCCCGTGTGGGAGGCAGTGCTATAAAAAAAAAAAAAGAAAAAAAAAACAAAAAAAACCCACAACCCTCTTTCCTGACTCACAGAAACGCTTTCCTCTTTATTTTTAAAATAAACACAGCAGTGAAAGGAGCAGCCACGTTTGTGCCACCCAAGCCACCGCAGGGAGCGCTATGTGTTGGGCTCACACCTCTCCCAAGGGCACGACGCGGGTCCTCCAAGCCTTTAAGCCTCGCTTTTCCCTCAGCTGTCCCCTAAATCCTCCTTGCCCACCTCCGCACCCTACAAACCCACAGAGGGCCGAGACCCGCCCGCAGGCCGCGGCGGTCGCCATGACAACGCGCGGCGCCTCCTCCGCTCAGCTCCGCCTTCAAGCGGGCGGGCTCAAACTCGATTCTCCACCCTCAGACCTCCAGGCCCGGCAATCTTCTTCCCTCCCTCCCCCCCCCCCCTTTTTTTCTTTTCTTTTTTTTTTTTTCCTTTCCCCTTTTTTGCTCCGCTGTGGCCTAAAGCCGGCGCGCCGCGATGGCTCCGGCCGTTGACCGGGAGGGTTATTGGGGCCCTCCGACCTCCACCTTGGAGTGGTGTGAGGAGAATTACGCCGTCTCCTACTACATCGCCGAGTTCTGTGAGTGGAACCGGGCTTCCTCTCCTTTCCTCTCCCCTCCCCCCTTTCCTCCCCTGCTTCGTGCCCCCCCACGGGTGTTGTGAGGTCCCCCCACACGCTGTGCCCAAGGGCGGGGAGATTCCCCTTCCTTCGTGATCCTAAAGGGAACAAATGGTGGGGGGTGGGCAATAGGTTTACCCGTCAGCCAGCCCCACTGGGTGAGAACGGGTCCTTTCCCCCAAATCCCTGAGGTGTTTACTTGTCCCTTCCCTCCCCCCCCAACAGATCCCTGCCTGAAAGAAGGCCCTTTCTCCCAGTATATCATCTCATGGTCCCTTCTGCCCTGAGTCTGTCCCTTTGGCTGTGCCCAAATGGGGCAGCAAAAAGGTGCCTGAAGGTTGCGAAGGGTTTAAAGGGTTTTGCCGTTGGATTAAAGGTGTTTTTGCAGCAATGCGTGGGTGACTGAAGAAGGAAGCCTTCCCAGAGCACTACAGAACTACGCAGGTCTACAGCCAGCAGTGGGTATCCACATACAGAGCAGGCATCTTCAGCTGCCTGATCTTAGGTTGCCTAGTTCCTCCAGGTGTTATAGAGCAGCTGGGCCCCACCTGTTGGCATAGCTCTGAGGAGCAGCAAGAGGAAAGGTGGCTGTTTGGACCTCAAAACTCTTATTCTTCAGGAGCAGTCAGGGATTTAGATGTGTTCCAGTGTATTTTGGAGGAAAGGTGCTTGAGCTACGCAGTCATCCAACAGGCTTTGTTGGGTTCAGAGGGCTTGAGATGCTGTATGTTGTGGTAGGGAGTAAAGAATCAAACCCTGTCTCTAATATGTTGTTGAAAAACTACTTATTTTTATGTCCTGTGGCTTCCAGTGGTGTAGAAGTTTTGTACGGCCACCTGACAGATGCCCTGTCCTATAAAGGCTTTCATGTCCATTTGATGAGACTGCTTTTGAAGTCTTAAAACGGTAGAAAAGTAGTTCGAAAACTGAACAGGCTCTTCTACCCTGACATGCTTGTTGTGCAAAGCCTGAGAGGGCCTTTTGCATAGCTGGGATGCTTCAGCAGCACTTTGGAAGAGCTTGGCATGCAGGGGAGTGAAGGTTCTGGGTGTACCTCCTGGGCTGCAACTGGGTGACAAACACGGAGGACGAAAAGAAATAATTGTTATTTATTGTTGAGGTTTTCAGAGTGTGGGAATGGGAAAGAATGAATAACATGAGCACAGATGGCATAGAAACTCAGAGGAAAAAGGATGTTGGGGTGTAGATTTATGGCCGAAAAGAGGCTGCTTAAGAGAGGGCTTAATACTATAAAGGGGACAAACTTAGGAGTTCTTAACTAGAGTGACGCTTTTGCAGAGTATGTATTTTTGTGTTTTCCTCTTGGCAGAAATAGGTTTGAGAGATAATGTACATGGGGAAGAGGAAGTTGTTACTTCGCCGTGCGAAAATAAATTTGGCTAGCATGTAAATTTTGAAGTAACCCCTGCACTACTGGGTGTGTGAACTGATAGTTTTCATCTGCTTCTGGGTTAGACAAAGAAGATGAGACTAAAGGTGTGTATTTAGGGGGGAAAAGTAAAAAGGGATTAATTACAGAAGGTTTGGTCTCTCCTTACGGTTTTAGTGTTGGGGACCACAGTTTGTTGGTCTGTCAGTTGTGCTGAAACAACTGCATATAAAAGCTGTGCTGTAAAGTACAGTATTTAAATGGGCCAAACTTAGCAAGCAAAGCAAGTAAACAAAAACTCAAATTCAGAGAGTAAATAAACCAGAAAGTACAAAAATATTTTTAGTGTATCTCTCCCCGTTCTCATTGTGGTAATTTGTGATGTTGCAGTTGATTATATTTAAATTATAAATTATGTTTAAAGCTCTGTTACTTTGTCTTACCTTATTGAATAGCAAAAAAAACTTTTAGACTTCTGGCTGTCTTGGTACCACTCAGTTAAGCTGGTGATATATTTAAAATCTTTTCATTAAACATTTATTGTAATTAATTTGTAAGGAATCGTTGAAGACCCAAAGTTGAAGGATACTGATGGGCCCAAATCAAATATTATATTTTCTTCAGGTTTCTAAAGTATGTAAAGAGCCAAACTGGAAGCTTGTTTGGCAAATTAAGTCCTAGTGCCATTTAGCAATTTATTTTTATACACTAATTTTAGTAGAAATTGCTACCAGTTGTGTTCCAGAAGCAGTTATTTGCTATTCACTCCTTAAAGAAACAGCAAGCAATGGCAGTTCATCAGTTGTACCTGTTCAGAGGTGTGAAGGTAATGTGTTGCAGTGTGTTTTTTTTTTCTAAAGCATGTCAAGTTTGCAACATCTTCATACACCCCAAACACAAGGACTTGCATTCAAAGATTCGTGTTTTAACTAAGGAAAATTGCTTTTTCTTGCCTTTGAGTTTGCACCTAGCCAGTTTTCCTCCCTGTGTAGGTGGATGACTAACTAAATAATATTAAACTGATTGAAATGGAGAAGCAGATGAAGATAATTACTTCACCAGCCTGCGTTTGATGCTGAAATGACTCTCACATCCCTCGCTGATGCATCTATTGTGTGGTGTAGAAATTCAGTCAGGGTTCCTCAGAGTTTTGGATTAATTCTCATGAGCTAGAGGGCAAGTAGTACAGGTGCATCTGTTTCGAACTAATCTTTTCCACCTCCCAGTGTGTGTATGCTGAATTATCTGAGCCTTTGTACACCAGCAGAAGCAAAATAAGAAAAACACTGCCCTCCCACCCAAACAAACAGAACGAGGTCAAACGTAAGTCATGTTGTTCAGCACCAATATTACAGTTTATTTGTTATTTCCACAGGGGTGATATTTTAGGTGAGTTTAACCCATTCAGTAGCATTCAGTTTTTGGGGTCTGTTTTGATTTGAACATTTGTATGATGAGTATTTTGTCCTTCTTGCATTCATACTCTGGGAAGCATGTGTCTTGTAGGCTATGAAAAGTGGATATAACTGATCTTCATAATTTCTGCTCTCTGTGGTTCCAAAGGGTTTATGATTCTCTGTTGGAAGTAGAAGAATCTGTTGCTGGTACCAACTCAGTGTTTGGTTTCAGTTCCGATCAAACTTCAGTGATGTTTCTGGGTGTATGGAATAAGGCCTTGTGCTGTTGTTATCGATGAGTAATGTGCATCATCTACAACAGATCTGCTTTCAGGTGGTGTAAACTCATGTTGGCACATACAGTGGCAAACATCTTGAAAGCAGCTTCAGGCTCTCAAGGAACTGTAGTCAGATTGTTTCTTTCTTGGCCTCTGATCCTGTGTCGCTACGTTCTGCCACCTTCATTTAAGAAAATATGCTTTTATTACCTTTTGTTTTCATTGAATGCTTTTTTACCATATTTCTTGAGCAGTTCTTTCCTTATAGAACCAATGATTAGGGGGGAAAAAAAAGACATTCTTTTGGTCTGCTTATGATTCAGGTCAGGCAGGGCTGGGCTCTGAGCACCTGATCAAGCTGTGGGTGTCCCTGTTCATGGCAAAGGACTCAGACCAGATGGCCTTAAAGGTCCTTTCCAACTCAACTCTGTGATTAGAGCCACTTCTGACAGCATTCCTGAAATCCTTCCTATTTTTCATCTAGATGAGAGGTAGAGGTGAGATGGATGTTACCTGTGTTAGATACAAGAGATCTCATTCACATAGGTACTACTATCAGACATTGTTGGAAACTAACACAAAAATACCCGTGTTCTCTTTGAGCAAGCCTAAAAAACAAACGAAACAAAAACACCAATTGAGTTGTCAACAAATACACCTGGATCTCTGTTTTGCATGGGAATCATTACTTTGGAACTTATCAATTTCCTTAATGTACTTAAAGTTAGGAAAACGTTTTGAATGTTGAATTCTGCCTGCCATGTCTATATATACTGTCACCTGTTCCTCTCGAACATCCCACTTTATTTTGCCTCCTTTGCCAGAGGCTTTGAAAAGGGGCCTGAGGCTGAAGAGCTTGATATTACTGTGTGAGTGAAAATAAAGAAAGAAATGAAGTGAAATAAAGCCAAACTGTCTGGCTTCAAGAGCTCTGTCTGTTCTTTCTATCGTGAAGTGGCAGGTGAAGGAAGAATCATGAGGATTAATTGGGTGTGATCAGCCCAGCTGCCTGACTGCAGCTGAATTATTTAAAGGCATCATGAAACTGATGATTTCTAAAGTGCTGTTTAAAAAGAAGACAATGTCACAGCCCTGCGGCCTTTAAGACAGAAAGGGATTTGAACGTGCAACTTTAATGACCTGATTGCAGGAAGCCACATCACACGTTTCCTCTTTAAATTTATCAGGTTCCTTCAGGGAGCTCCCTCAACTTAGGGGGTGGGAGAGATGAAAAGTTAAGGGAAAATTAAACTAATTGATGGTGGCTGTAATGTCAAGTGGAGTGTACAGAGCAGTGTTGAGCTGCGGGATGCTTTTCAACACGAACGTTTCTCACTTGGTTTTTTGTGCTGTGAACAAAAGGAAGTTGATAGAAGGGTCTCTTTATTCAAAGAGGAATATTGCAGAAGGAAGCTTGTTAGGCAAACAGCTGTCTCTTACAAGTAACTTTTGGTCAGTGGCAAATGCTGCTGCATTATTTTTATTTCTCTTCCTAGTTCGTATATGAGTATGCTGCAGCTGGAAGATAATCTTGTGGCATTGCTCTGATTTGTAGTTTTTCTTTTTTTGTGTGTGTCTCTGATCCACGTTCCACCTCTACCTGTCATCTCATGATAGCTTAATTTTTACAGCTTTCAATGAAAGGCAGGGTCAAAGGCTTCAGGAAGATCCAGGTTTGCCCAGTGAACTCGTTCTCCTCTATCCCTCACCTTGTGGATATGCTTAAAACTCGATGGATGCTGCAGCAATGGACCACGTGTGTATTGTATAGCTACTAAGTGACAATAAAAGCTTTAAATATGGTTTAACAAAGCGTTTAATTACTCTATAATTAGTGCTTCGCATTCAGTACTTGTACAGCTGGCATTTGGACATCTGCCACTCCAAATGGTAACA